AAATGCTGGTACCTCAGAAATATATGGAAAACACCGGGGACTTTACTACAGTCAGCTTTCAGTTCAGAGCTCTGATTTTCATTTTCAAAACATCTACTTTCAAAAACATATTTTCCCCTGCTCTGAAGTTCTTTCTAATCTCATGTAAGAAATTCCTCCTGAAGATGAGATCAGGTGCACAGCAGCACTACCCTAAAGATGGAAAGCTGAATTGTCTCAGTGTTATAATAGTGGTGGTATGCAGTGAATGCAGTTTCAGGGAGAGTACGTGTGGCAAGTTAATAAAATTGGAGATGAAGGCCATGGTGCAGGAGTAATATTTCCCCTAGCCAGAGGATAAGAAGTTATCCATGGCTATTGAAGAAACAAAATTGGAATGTTAAATCTATTTCATGAATTAAAGTACACTGACCTTTAGAGGGAGGAATGACTCATTTTCATCCCTGTATGCCTCTTTTTAACACATGCTTCCCACCTTTGCATATGTAAGCAGCAATTATTTCTCATGGAAAGTTATTTTATGGGCATTTCAGCTTATTAAACTTCCTGAGTAAACTTAACAAAGATGTATTTAGCAACGCTTGTGGGCCAGGTACCCTACAGTCAGTGATTTGGTTACCTGTGGTGTTAACATGATGAAATACAAACGCCTCTGCAGGGCCAAAACAGATGGGTTCTGGATCTCTATGGAGCCCATGCAAGCATGGAGCAATCAGGCACTGAGAGTATTTGCAGGACAGTGGTGCACAAACTCCTGTGAACTCAATGGCTTGACAGTTAAACAACAGCACTCCAGTAAGAACACCTTTTACTAAGTGTGTTTGGTAACACGCTGAGACAAATTGCTTCATGCGCCACACAAACATGCTATTAAAAAGAGAAAGGCTTCACTTTGGTGAAATATCTCTCAGCCAGTATCAGAGCACAAAAGCCAAAAAGAATACAACATTATTTACAGGACCCTTTTGTAACCTTAAACTCAATGGGAATTCGGCTCCTTGCAGGTTTTTCTCATCCTCATGTACAATGCAATCTCCATTCCCAGGGAGGATAATTTTGTGAAAGTAATTAAGCAAGGTAATTACATTTTTTTTCCTGGGAAGTACTGCAATCCTGGGCATCTCCAGCACTTTTGGAAAAAGAAAAAAAAAAAAAACAAGAAAATCACTAAGTGTGTCAACATCAGTAAAGCCTCTTTACACTGTTGATGGGAGGATTGTGTTGTTTGAAATCCATTTCCAATTAGCTTAAGCAATAGAGGAGAGGCTCAGTTGCCTTAGGAAGGGCTTTAGTTAAGCCCTGTTCAAATTAGCTGCAATGGTGATAATAATTGCTGGAATCTGCACACTTATGGACTGGTGGATGCTGCTATCACTGTGTCAGCACATCCTGCTGGCAGCAGGACTACGTGGTGCAAATTTAAGGATGGTAGCGATGTGTGGTGTTCGTACAGGCAGCACCTTCACGATGCAAAAAGAATGGATTCCATGCTAAAAACCTATGTGCAAAGCCGTATCGTGGAATAAATACACTACAGTTTAATTACTGGCAAAGCAGATGGAGAATTTAATAGCAATGCTGCACTTCAGGAACATCAGTGTAGAATTCAGGAGGAAGCTGGAATTGTTACAGGAGGTCAGGAACAGCTGCTAGGAGAAGGTACTGCTGTGAAATAGGTAGCTCTGCATTCCTTCTGCTCCTCCTATTCCTGCATCCCCTGCAATGGACTCTGCAAGGCTGTATTGCAGTAAAAGCAGCAGAGCCTTGCCTTCAGCGTGATTTCACTGGGCAGAGCTAACTGCTGCTCGTCTCTCAGCAAAACATGGATTTCTCAACAGTGAGGACAACACCCAGATCCTGATGAACTTTGCTTAAAGCTCCGTGCTGTACCTACAGCAGCACAGCACCTGCTCATTCATGAGGATATCCTTCACTCGGGTTTAAAACCACACCTTCATCCTCAAAGATGACAGCTATGTGCCCTCCAGCTCCCTCTCTGCTAAAGGCACTGGAGCTGAACTAGCATTAAAAGCAAAGGCTGCATCTCCACTGCCAAAGAGGGAGATTCTTGAAGCAAAGGAACTGCAACTCATAAAGAATTTCCCAAAGAGAGAAAAAGAAAAGAGCAGCTTTGGGTGTCTTTACTAATATTTTAAAACGATTTTTCATGCTAACAAATTGAGGCAAGAGCTGCAGAAGGCAGGGAGGGAGCACTGGCCTCACCCAGACACCATACAGTAGGTGATCTCTGCCTCACCTCTGCCAAAACTGACCGAGGGAGGCTTCTCACTTCAGCCTCAAGCACGAGACTGATTCACATAGAAACTGTTCTGATGGTCTGTTTTGATTTTAGCTGCAGGCAGCAAGGAATGAAATTAGTTCCATTGGTAATTACTCACATTGCTGGCCCAGCTTTACAGTTGAACATAAAAAAATCATCAGTTGCTCCAACTTTGTACTGAAAGCCCAGCACTGACTCCTCTCACCACTTGCAAACGTATCTAGGTTTGTTTTGTGATCCATTAAGTGGCTACTCAGAGACACGCCACCAGCACTTCCACAGCTTCATAGAAGCTACCAAACTGAGCTCACGGTGACAAGTTATTTGATCTTGCAGCCCCCTCGCTATTACAGCCTTGATATGAGAGCCTGAATCAGAGCTTGTGTGAAAGGTACCAGGCACAAGCAGGATGGAAATCTCTCCTCATCATTGGCCCGAATTACAAATTGGATTTGAGGATTTGGATTGGATTGAGGAGCTGCCCCCTACCCTGACTTCACATCCCTATCACCCAGGACAAAAGATATGAGCCAGGGTCTCTCTTCAGAGAGATGCCAATCAGTGCCATGTGAGCCCCCTGAGATACACGGCTTCTTGTCATGCTGTAGCTGATACAGTCCACCAAGTACTGTCTGTGGTATTAAAAGAGACAGGAATCAACTCAGTGCCAGCTCACTGTAGCTGAACCTGACCAACAGCTCATCCACGCACAGTGGGATGAGGGAAAAAACTGAAAGGTGTAGTCACTGACGGGTTGAGATAATGGCAGGTTAATAACAAAGAAAAAATAATTTTAAAAAGCAAGAAATATACCAAATGAGTGATGCACAGCACAATTGCTCACCACCAGCCAACTGATGCCCAGCCAGTCCCTGAGCAGCAGCAGCCCCCCAGCGTTACCCCGATGTTATTGCTCAGCGTGACACCACATGGTAAGGACATCCTTGGGACCTGCATGAGTGAGCTGTGCCGGTGCTGTCCCCTCCCGGCTTCTCGTGCCCCCCAGCCCCTGTCTGTCTGCAGGGCAGAGTGAGAAGCTGGGAAGTCCTCGGCTCTGCGCAGCACTGCTCAGCAATAACTGAAGCAATCGTGTTAACATTATTCTCACCCCGCATCCAAAACACGGCACCCTTCCAGCAACTAGGAAGACAATTAACTCTCTCCCAGCTGAAAAAAGCCGGGAGAGAACCGTTTTCTTTGATATTTGCCTGTCTCCCATCGTACGTTTAAAAAAAGAGTAATAACGCTGATAGCAACGCCCAATAGCATACGTGTATCGCTCTGACCGTCAGACTGAGCTCCGGAATGCTTCCACCGTTCCCCGAGGTTCGCCCGCACATAACCTTGGGAATCCCTCGCAGCCCTTTGAGCAAACACACCCTAGAAAACGATGGGGAGCATCAGACAGCCTGACCTTGCTCCCCCGAGGCTAACGACACTTCCACCTTCGGGTCCCATTTGCGGTTGCTTGGCGCAACGCCCGCGTTGCATACAAACCCCCCTGCGCTCCCTAAGCAGCCCTCCTGGCCCCCCAGCCCGTCGGTACGTTGGACGGCAAGGACGAGCCGCAAGGGGAAGCCGCGGCCGGCGGGGGGAGCTGGCAGTGCCCGGCATGCAGCGCCCGGCTCACCTGCCGCCGAGACGTGGAGGAGGAGGCGGGGGCGGGCGGCTCGGATGGCCGCCGAGAGCCCTCGCTCGCCGCCCGGAACGCCTCCGCGGCGCTCGGGCATCACCCGCACCCGCAGCCGCCCGTCTCCGGAGCGGAGCCAGCCGGCGAACGGCTCGCTGAGGTCGAACTCCAGGCGCGCCCCGGCGGCGCAGCCGTCCCGCAGGCTGCCTTCGCCCACCTCCAGCACCAGCTGCTTGGCGCGCCGCAGCCGCCGCCCGCCCGCGGAGGGGCCGCCGGGGAGGACGAGCGGCGCTGCCGGCGGCGGCCGGGAAGGCCCTCCTCGGGCGGCGCGGAGCAGAGGCGCGCAGTCCAGCAGCAGGCGGCCCGTCGCCGAGGCGCGGCCCGGCGGCCCCAGCACCAAGTCCCGCACGTAGGCGCGGAACAGCGAGGGCACGACGAAGTCCACCGCCAGACTCCTCCTCTGCAGCCGCGACAAGCCGGGACCGTCCCGCGGCCCCGCCGCCCCCGGGGCTAAGCTGAGGGCGAAGCAGGCGGCGGCCAGGAGACGGGCGGGCAGCCGGCCCCCCGCCATCACCCGCCCGGCCGGCGGCCCGCGGGAGCGGAGGCCGAGGAGCGGCGCTGGCGCGGGGCCGGTGCGCCCGGAGCCGCTGCTGCGCGGGCTTTGCCGGCTCCAACTACCCGCCACAACGCGGGCATTACCCGGCGAGCGCTGACGTCACGCTCGAGCCCGCCCGCCAGCAGCCAATGGAGGCTCGGGCAGCCGTCGTTATGCAAATAAAGGGGGCGGAGCCGGGAGCCGGGGGCGCGCCCGGCGCCCATTGAGAGAAAATGGGAAAGCGCTCCCGGGCGGGCTGCGGCGCCTCGGGACGGGCGGGGCCGAGGATGGAGCCGCCGCCGCCGCCGCCGCCGCCGCCGCCGCCGCCGCCCGCGCGTGGTGTAGGGCTGTAGGCTGCGGCTCCCGGCCCCCTCCGCTTTTTCTCTTCGGACAGGCAGATCTGATCGCTAGCGCTGCCCATTTGTTTTCTTTCCCTCTTTGCTCCCATCCTTCATCCTTCTTTCCGTTCCTGGCTTCTCTCCGCCCCTCCTTACCTCCAAATGAGCCGAGGTCTCCCCTGCAGCCCCGGGTACGTTCCTTCTGTTGGGAAAAATAAAAGAGAGAGAAGTGAGGGGAAGGGATCTCACACAGAAGTCATTCTGAAGAATTGAGCGGAACTGTTCCGTTTCAAAATGAAAACGACAGCCTTAAGGAAGGTTCATGTACCAATTTCCCTTATTTTTACCTATATTAAATACAGTAAAATGGCTGTAATTACGTTAGTGCCGTGCCTTAGCATAGCTAATCGTAGCTCATTCATATTTCTGGAAGTTGCTTGCATGAATTAATGACTTCTTATTATCTCTTTAGTTTGATACTTAATGCATGTATATTTTTATAATCTAGGTACTTCAACTATATAATCATTAGGGTGCAATTATTCTGTCATGTGGTTATTCTTCTGCTTATATCAAATTAATGTTAATATACAGATACTCTGGAGCAGAACCACCGAGTAATTCCCCATAATTGTAGCGCTAAAGAGTGTAATTGCAGGCGCAGTGCTAGAAAAGAAACAAGATCTTTCTGCACAGAGGAGCTGAAGAAGGAACTTCAGGGCAACTGTCACATGAAGAGTTACATAATGCACTCTGTACAGAAGGGCACTTTATGCTGCATTCAGCCCCATACGGGCGTGCAAATTCAAAGCCCATCCTTTGCCCAAGGAGGTTGTGGATGCCCCAGCCCTGGAGGCATTCAGAGCCAGGCTGGATGTGGCTCTGGGCAGCCTGGTCTGGTGGTTGGTGATCCTGCACATAACAGGGGGTTGAAACTACATGATCACTGTGGTCCTTTTCAACCCAGGCCATTCTATGACAATGTTTTCCCAATGATGCTGGGCTCGGTTCATGCCCTCTTTCCTCTTCTTGCAAGCTCTTTGTGCTTTACAGTCCTTTAGATTCACTTGCTCAACATGTGAACTCCAGCCATTCACATTTAGCCTTCAGTAATGCTCTGGGATTTGGGTTTCCTTTTCTTAGATGAGCAAGACTGGAAAAATACTGGAATGCACACAAGTGGCCCACTGGACTTTCCACTCAGCCTCTTCTTTTACTCCAGTGGACAGTCACATGAACGTGCATGTCTGTGGATTGGGAGCCTAGTCCTCAAACCTGCCTTCTTCAAATTCTGCTGGACTGCTGTCTTCCTGTGCTTGAGCACCACATGCTAGTGAGTCTCCCACAAGAGGGATGGCAATTACTGCAGAAAAGTGGTGTGTTAGGCACAGAAAACATTCTAAAAAGTCCCTCAGATGGTTTAGTGTAGGTTATTTTTCTGCTTTTGCAGATCTGATTTCTGTCATGTGAAGGCAGTATGTGGGACTTCTGCAGTTTTCAGTTCTTTGCATTTTCCTCTTGGATTTGGCCAGCTTGAGCCAAATGCTCAGCTCATGTGAGTGAAAGGTAAGTCTTCCATGGACTTTAACAGTCTACACACAGGTGACAGTTCCAATTTCTAACTCAGCTACTAGGAACGGAGTAACTGGATCGATCCCTTTATCTTCAACACCCCGCTGAGAGAGGCCGCACCTTCCCCAATTACTCTTTTTGGCAGAGATTATAAAGACATTTCACTGACCTTCCTCTCACCAGGAAGCCACAGTTGGCCCCAGCAATGAGTCACACCGGCATGACTAGAAACTTCACTCTCTTCTAAATGAGACAGAGCCGTGCCTGTGCCTCCAGGTGCTCTCCCTTCAGTTGAGTCAGTCGTTGCCTCTCTTCAGAATGCCTTCTCTGCTCCATCCACTGACAAAGCTGCTGAGCGGGTGGAAGTTTTGTGATGTGGTTGAGCTAGGACAAATGGGATTTGCTTGTCATCAGTGTAAGCGATATGGGCACTGTATGCACCCAAATGGCTCTGCTATCTGCTTGGGGGACAATATAGAAAAAGCCCAGAGATGCCTGGGGGCAAGAAACATAAGTGGGGGTACAGCCCTGCCTTCATGCAACACACTGCTCTCAGTGAAGGAATCTGCATGTGCTTGGAAAAAGAAAAAAAAAAGGAAAAAAAAAAAAGCATGGTCCAAAGACAGTACTAGCAGCTAGCAGGCTGTTACCTAATAGTCCCAAAGAAATCAGGTAGCACATAAAAGTATATAGATGTATACTTTTTCCACTGTATTACCTTGTTTTATTGCCACAGCTGAAAGCTGAAATGAAAAGGAATCTTTATTAATAGGTACTAAATGAAAAAGAAACAGATGTTAATACGTTGAAAGACAGAAAGTGAAAATGGACCTATTAATGAAGAGAGGCAAAGAAATCAATAAGATCCAGCGGTTGAGTTGCCAGGCTGCCTTTTTATCTCCCTTTTTGATTGCTCTTTAAGGAGAAGAGTGGTATGTATATTTGGGAAAGAGTTGAAGCCTGGTCAATAGAGCTGTTAATGAGGAACAGGTAAGGAAATACTTCGTACAATTCTGTGATAGGCTGCGATCAGCAGATCTGGACAGTATGCTTCCCAGGTTTTTAATTTAGCTAATGAATTGACTGTGTCACTGGCAATTAATTTTGAAAAGCAGAAGAGATCTCAGGATGTCTCGAAGGACGAGGGTGGGGTGAGATGAAATACAGTTCTAACCTTTACAATGGAGAAAAAGAGTCACATTGGCAGATGTCTGTAGTTCAGCACCAGTAAAACAGCGGAAGAGACTTAAGCCAGACAAGGTACTTCAGTAGGAGCAGAGCGGAGTGTGAGCTGAGTGTGTTACACTCCTGGAAGGTTTATTCTGCCAGGAAAAGACTCAAAAACCTCAGACATTTCAAATTTGTACCAGGAAAATGATATTACTTCTTGGGGTTCTAATTGCATCTCTGTAGGTGCTGGAAAAGACCCAGAAAAATTAATAAATCCACATGCTAGTAAACCTGTGCCAGAACTTCATGTGAAATATTAATAGGGTAATACTACAGCTGGACAATATCATGTGGCCTTAGACTTAAGCAGAAGACTACTGGAAACTGCAGCACTGTGAGTGTAAGATGGTAATACAGTAGACTGAGTGAGCATCAGCAATTGCTTAGTTTTTACGTTTCTGCTAATACTTCACTGATAACACAGTGTCAGCTCTAGGCGGTGCTGCCTTGAAAGGCTTCACTCACAGCAAAAAATGGGGCCAGTAATTTGGATAGGACCACTGAAGTGTCAGTGAAGCAAAAGGAAAGAAATAATGCAGAAGAATTAAGCTAGGGCAACAAGGAAGTGGTATCTAACAGCAGTGTGTTTCAGCTGGATTCTGGGAAGAAACATCTACTACTGAGTATAAGCACTCCTGGTGCTATCAGACATCTTTTGTGTCTCCCTCCTACCACAGAGTTCCCAGCCCAGGACATTGGTTATCTGTACTCTGGGGATGTATTACATTTGAGGTGTGATACCAAAGCAAAACGTCTGTACACAACAAACTTTTCAAGGAGAGAGCTGAGGATGGGGACTGTGTCTAGACGTGTCAGGTTAGTGGGAAGACCCTGCAGTGAGATATGGCAATGTTCATCTGGCTTGGGACTGTGTGGGAACAGAGCAGACTCCATGTCCCTCTCTGTGGTCTCACTTCTTAAGCACGCTGAGTTGAACTGCCTGAGGTGTGTTAGACCAACAGGATCCACGTGACAGCCCAACCTTTACTTAGGTAGATCTTTCCTCACTAGGCTGTGGCAGAACAGTTGCTTATCAATTTGCATCTGATTTATGAAAGGCAGAGGTTCTTACTGTCTGCCTTGCTACCCCGGTCCCAAGAAGAGGAAGAATTCGATTCAGAGCTTGTAATTGAGGGGCCAGACAAGAAATCCTATAAATCTCAACTGTACTGACTTTAGGGAAGCTTCTTCGAATTCACACTAATGAGGCAGAAAGCAGATTCTGGCCTTCACTCATCACTTTGTAGTTACTTTGGCTCCCTGAGACAAAGGCAGTGAATCAACGATGCTAATTACTTCATTCACAGCTTTGCTTAAAGCTACCTGCCCTTCCTTTGGCTGTTGAGTGTTTCTAAAGTAGCCTTTCATTTGCTGAGATAAAGCATAACAACTTATTTTATTACATTCTTTTTTTCATCTTCCTCATCATGTCAATTAGTGTGTTTGCATTTTAACAGAGATGCTGCCTGAAACCATTCTGGCTGCTAATGTCACAATTAGTGTTTCTTCCTGTTGGACCAATTATAGGTGATAATGTTACTGTTTGACAGCGTTTGTGTTCTAATTGAGAGCCTGATTACAAATTGGGTGCTCAATTCCAGCCAAGCTGTTTCTTTTTCACAGGGTATCCCCTAGTCACGGCTTTTTACACGTCTGGGATTACATATGGAAAATAAAAATAGATGAGTCATCACTTATATGAAATATTTTCTAACCTTCAGACAGTTTCATCTCTCCTCTTTTCTTCTTGATTACTCCAAGCATTTTTTCTTATTTGGTTGGAATATTTATCAAGGACAAAACATGCCATAGATATAAGCAGGATGGAGCTTCTGAATGACAAGTTTAATTCATCATTTAATGCCCGCACTTTCAAGTGTCAGCCCTGAACCCCTGATGGCTAATATCACCCAACACCAGGGTGCATCACTACAACAGCTTTGCCCATTAAAGGAAACAAACAAATCAATGCTGAAAACGTGTCAGTCTATGAAATGGAGAAAAACAGCCTATAAAGCAGGTTCTGGGATAAGAATGGAGTAAGATGAATTACTGTGTTTATAAAAGGGGAAAAATCTCATTTCTTAAAAAAGAGAGAGAGAGAAAGAGTGGGGTGGTCTCATCTTACTTTCAGTGCTATGTAAAATAGCACGGGGACATTTGACTGAATTACCTCTCCTGTAAATCTGCTTACCTCACCTTGCATAAATGCAGAAGTCTGCTTTTAAATCTGCAGCAGAATTTATGTCTGTTTGGATGCTGACGTGCACAAGCAGGGTTATAAAGCATATGGAACGGAGCATAAGAACAGAGCAGGGTGGAAGCTGGTAGGCACCATGTTTGTGCAGTCTGTGTTGTGGCTTTCCTACCATGTAGGATAAAACACAACACCAATCAAATGTGATTTCTTCCTTGATCACATGGATGAGCAATATACAGATATAAATATGAACTTGCCTTGCTTCAGTTCCCTCAAGTGAATTGTGTTTACAAGAGGGAAAAGGCCAATTTTATGGCATTTGAAGTGATGGTTGAAATTTCAAAACCAATCAAGCTACTACAAAATTCCTGCTTCAAAGATCCTGAAAGACCTTGCTGGACTTTGGAAAGCAGTTTCTCCAAGAGAATTCAACTGACCACATGAATTCAACAGTGCTATTCCATGAAGTCAAAAACATTTCAGCAGAGTGTGCCTGATGCTAAGCCTCCTCCTATACCGACTGATAGAAACTACAGTTTCCCCAAAACACAGTTGGTGTGGTTTAGTTTCACACCAGCAAGAGCCCTTATTGCTAGGCAGTACTCGCTAGGCAGCTCCCAGTTGGGTCTTGCCTTCTCCTAAATATGTTTATCTGAATAGCCAGCAGAACCAGTGATTGTGATGTTTTGGGCACAGCTTCCCTGTCTCTGAACTTTGCAGAGAAGGATGAATGTGTAGTTCAGCTTAACTGAGTCCCAGCTGATGCAAGTCAGTTTTCAGTTTAAAAGACTTTGCTTGGAGGTGCTCTTGTTTTATAGTTCAATTCTTCAGGATTTTCGTTAAACACATGGCTAAAACATACAGCCATGCTTAAAAAAGATTTATTAGCACCAACTCTTTTTGTTCTAGAGGTTGATGCATGTGAGAAAATAAAATACTGTATATATTTCTCTGACTCCATTTCCTTACTGCTGCCATAGGTTCTCAAGCTTTGAGGTTTTCTGACACAATCTTGCGTAGTGCCTTTTCCTCTCACACACAGAACCTGTCTCCCTTGTGTAGCCATGTCCCTCACCCAGTGCCTCTCTTAACAGAGATCTGCTGCTTCCCTCTTTCCTATCTGAAACTTCATGTGCCTGACATCTTTCTGAATTTTTCCCAGGTTGTCATGCTCTATGGCTTTCAAGGTTCCTGCTGATAGATGGTCTTTCTGAATCACCTGTCTGGGGTCTCTCTACTCATTGAACACCAGACTCTGTAGCCAAGCTACACCTGAATACATTTCACATAAAACCCAAGCGTTTGTGGTTTTGCTGTTTCAGAGCATTAGCCAGACTACCTCCTTAACACACAGGCATATTCTCCAAACTGTTGCTGTGAATAAAATGATCTAGGTCTGCTTTCGAAGATTAAGACTTGGCACATCAGTGGCTTTTGAAATGATTTCTGAATTTATTGTAGGCAGTAAGACTACTAAATCTCATTCTTTGGAAATGGAACAAGTTTGCTGAGGGTCTTGGATCAGCAAGTTAGAATCATAGGTCACCTTCTATCTTGTTGCAAATGGAGTAAAAATGACCTTTTCTGAGAGGCATACAATGATCTTAAATTCAGACAGGTGTATATATCTGATCATTTTGCATGATTTTTGTTGTGTTTTCCATTTTTGAAGTAAAAGAATAGTCACAGTTATTCACCTTCTGTCTGTGAGGTTAATTTAATGCTGGATCAAGCACTGCGAGAGTAATAACAAACAGTGAGTGCATCCGGGAGAGACTTAAGGAAGTGGGCTTCTCAGTCCAATGATAAGCAGATATTTAGGGCTGAAAACAGAATCAGCAAGCTGCTTCAAGAAGATGAACCCTTGGCACTCAGGGCGTGCTTTTTCCATTAAGTTCCTAAAGTAATACTTCCCTAAACTCAATAACTGCCCAAGAGTGAATGGCTATAAGGT